TGAAAACGATCGTTCATTAAGATGATTAAGGCCATGTATTATCAACAAACCACGAAGGGGATGGTAAATGGAGATATGACTGAAAATATCAAGAAGGGAACAAGGCCAGGATGCCCCTTGTCGCCTTTACTGTTTGTGCTGACGTTAGAAGTACTAAATAGAAATATCAGACTAAAGGAGATAAAAGGTATGGAAATAAAAAAAGAGGGAAAAATATAAGCTACAGGCATTTGCAGACGATTTTGTTTTTATTCCAGAAAAGCCATTAGAAACAGGACCTAAGTTAATAAGGATACGATATCCTTATTCACCTCCTTAATACTATATGATGCGGGAGCTATTTTATCGATGGCTGGAGAATAAATATGGAAGTCAGAAAATAAAGAAGGCTAGCGAGAAATAGTGAGCATGTGGATAGAACAGTTAAGATGGGGATTGTCAGAAGAAATAGATATATTATGTATATATCCGTATTAAGTAAAAATAGAGTATTAAAGCTGAAGTAATGAATATGTAGAAACTGTAATTGTTGTTGCATAAGATATTTGTACCCAGATGACACACTGTTTAAACCAGAGGCCCCCAAACGTGGCAACTTTAAGGCTGGTGGACTTCATAGCTAGCTGGAGAATTCTGGGAGTTGAAGTCCACCAGTCTTACAGTTGCCAAGTCTGGGGGCCCCTGGTTTAAATGGAAGATGGATTGTTCAATGGGAAATGACCAGGGGTTGGTGGGCCTCTCCCTCCCGTGGCCATTCCAGGAACGAGGCCACGTTCTGACGCTCCCCTCTCCCCTCTCTCTTCCCTCTGCCTCTCTTCCAGCACTCCTGATCACCGTTGTGGCCGCAGCAGGGATCGCCCTGTGGGTCTCCAGGAGCGGCAAGGGCCTCCTTGGCCAGATGCCCCCCAAAGCAGCTTTCAAGCAGCTAGTCCTAGCCGAGCACCTTTGAGATCAGCCGGCCAGCCAGGTAAGCCCCACCCCCACCCCCAGATCTGATTGGATGGCCTTAGCCGGACTTTCTGTCCCTGGGAAGCTTCAACGCCGGGACCCCCACCCGATTCCCTCTCCGCCTTCTGCACCTGCCGCTTCCCGTCCCCAAGGACTTTGCCTGGCTTGGGGCTGGACCCCTTTACGTTCTCCTTTACTACGCCGTTACGTCCCGTATGTTCAGCTCGCCTCTTGTGTGATTAGCATCAGAATCAGAATTCTTTTATTGTCCAAGTGTGATTGGACAGACAAGGAGTTGGTCTTAGTGCCAATGCTCTCGCCCTTGGGTGCCACCAGCGGAGAGCGCGATGTTAAAAAAAACAACCAGTCTTTTCTTGAGGTGGGTGTTGGGAGAACATGGCAGTGTCCCGGTTCTGCCCTGGACCCCCTCGGCCCGGCGGTTTCGGGAGTGGCACCCCAAGGAAGCAAGGCCCAGGCAGTTGGCTGAGGTCCACTCTTCCCTTTTTTGTAGGGGGGCGGGGCGGGTGGGGTGGGACACGGCTTCCCTCTCGGTCGTCTCCTCCTGGGGCGTCCATGCAGATCCTCAAATCATCCAAGCAGCTTCTTCCATTCTGAAGAATTCCCCATCCTCTTAAGTCCGGGGGTCTCCAAACTTGGCCACTTGAAGGCCGGCGGACTTCAGCTCCAAGAATTCCAGAAACTCTGCTGGCTGGGGAATTCTGGGAGTTGAAGTCCGCCGGCCTTCAAGTGGCCAAGTTTGGAGAGCCCTGCTCCAAGTCCCGGTTGTCCCCCAAAGTGCTTTCTCGACAGGCCGTTGGACTTCCTGCTTTTTTTCCTTGTCGATGTTTCGCTTCTCGTCCAAGAAGACGTGTTTTCCCAGTGAACCCAGTCTTATCGGGGCAACCTGGCCTATGGGGTGGAGCCTCTTGCTTCCAGTTTTGCCTTTCAGCCCCAATCCGGGAGCCTTCACAGGCTTCCGCCACAAACTATATTTTGCGCTGAATTTCTATTTTACCGACAAAGAAATAAAGAGAGACCTATTTCAAGCTATTTAGCTCTCGTGAACTCGCCCTCCTCATCCAAGTGGTTTCTTCTGCTCTGACTGGGTGGTGAGGAAAACCATAAAACCTTCCGTCCTTCACCCTTCGTTCGGAACTGAAGAAGCTTCTTGGATGAGAAGCCAAAAGTCCCAAAGCCACCTTGGGGATTTCTTGGATGCGAAGGGAAAACTTTTCAAGGCAAAAAAAAACCCCAAGGCAGTCCAGCTGCCATTTCCAAAGGCCCCTTTTGGGGTGCAGAGCCCGGCCTCCCCCACTCTGCCGTCTGCGTTCTTTTTCTGACATTCTCTTCAGCCAGAAAAGCGAAAGCCTGCGTAGGAGAAGGAACGTTGTTGTGTCTGGCTTTCTACCCCAGCGTCAAATCCGCCCCCCTTCCCCAATTCTCAGGCACTGAACGGAGCTGCCTCGAAGCTTCTGTTAGAGTTTGAAGCAGAAATTCAAGTCCAGGAAACGCCCAGGTGACCGATTCGGCAGGATCCGTTCCCTTCTTGATAAACAGAACAATATGAGTAAAGTTTACAAGATCATTTGTAGATTCTTAGCCAAAACACCACCAGCAGCAGCTCACAGCAGATACCAGTTTCTCGCAAGCCAAGCAGGTTAGTGTCTCTTTCACCTTCGAGCCGAGCCGAGAGCAGAGCTAAACCAGGCCCAGGCTCTGCCTTAAGGTTTCAGACCCAGTTCAGCTCTCCTGGGCTGACCTGGTTACCAAAGCTCCGTTCCAGGTCACGAATCTCCTCTGACAAATGGCCTCCCGGTCTCTTCTCGCCTTCCTTTCTTGCAGGAAGTCGCTCCTTGCTCCGTCCCAGGAAGGAAATCCTTGGGCCTGAAAGGCTGCCAGCCCTGCTGGGGACTCCTTGCCGGAGCCGAGACACAGAAGCCACACGGCCCGCAGGCCGTCGACGGAATCCACCTCCTATGGGGGCAAATTAAAATGGATTTGATCCTTCAAATACATCTGGGTGTCTCTCGCCGCCTGCTTGGGCCTGTCCTTCCACAGCAGCTCCAGGCCGAATGCTTCGCTCGGAGGAGGCCCTCAGCTGGGCACACGGATCCCAGCTCCCTTTCTCGGGGTGCTGCTCCTGGGCTGGGGGGCTGGGGGGTGACTGTTTTCTCCTGTTGGTGAATCCCCTGCCTCCAGGGGCCGTGGGGGCTCCCTCTGTGGAGGTCTTCAAGAAGTGGCCGGACTGCCGTCTGTCTGAAATGCTGCGGGAGGGGGGCGGGTTCCTGCTTGAGCAGGGGGTTGGGCTAGAGGACCTCCAGGGTCCCTCCCGGCCCCGTGAATTCTGTTATTCTCCACTTCTGGAGATTTGGGAAGGGCTGACACGGATTCTTCTCCCAGGGCTTTTCCTGTTGTGCTGCCCTCGGCCTGGTGGTGGAGATGGCCGCGTCCTTAAATTGCGTGGTGGTTGAGAAGGTGAGCTGTTTTGGGGCAGAAAAGCCCCCCCCCACACACACACACACACACACACGCCCCCATCCCCCCCCCCCCATGTCTTGCCCAGCTTGGGGGCCCTGCTTGTCCAGCCCTGGGGTCAACCCTCTTGTCTCGAGTGTGAGCGTTAAAAACCATTTCCCAACCTTCCTGGGCGCCTGGCTGCTTTTGTCCTCCTGGAGTCTCCCCACCCCCCGCCCCTTACAGCGTCCCCTCCCCACCCCTTCCCCAGACCCCTCCTCTCTCCATCTTTCCATCCCAGCCGGCCTGCCTTTTGGGGCCGCCTTCCCCTCCCCTGGTCCAAGGGCTCACCCTGACACCAGCCTCAAGAGGGCCCCGGCCAGGAACGCCGCGGTCCTCTGGGACTTCTTCTTCTTCTTCGAGAGCCCCGGGGTCTGCAGCCGGGGAAATCCTGCTAGCCCCCCCACCCACCTTGGAAGGACTCGCCGCGGTCCAGCCGCCACCACCACCACCCATTTTGTGAGCCCGGGTAAAAGTGCCACCACCTTCTTTTTTTTTTTTTTGGAAAACAGTTTTATTGGTTTTTTAAACAAACAGACAAAAACAGACCAAACATAAAAGCACCAGCTCTCTTCCGTACCTGTATACAAACGGTGTGTCGGTTGGTTCATCAGTTTTGTGCATCCATTTCGTAGTCTCGATTACGGTTACGTTACATAATAGCCCTTATTTTCAATCCTAACTTCTATATCCTCATATCATTGTTTAAAAAAAATTCATTTGACTATACTTTTATTCATTCGTACTTTATGAGATAGCTAAAATTTAAGTAATTTATTCTATAACCAATCATATAATCATGCCAATTCTATCCTAAAAAAAACACACCACTTTATAGACATAGTATCTAATAACAAAAGAAAAAGAAAAAAGAAGAATATTCCTTATTATCTAAAATTCTAAGTATTCTATTGTCATATTTCATCATCTAGCCATTGATAGAAAAGGTCCCAAATTTTATAAAATGGTTTATCTTCTTGCTCTCTAAGAGAGCAAGAAGATAAACGATTTTATAAAATGCCAGCACCTTTTATAAAGTGCTTTTATAAATTTTATAAAGTGCCAGCACCGTTGAGCATCTCAAGCAGGGGTCTCCAACCTGGGCCACTTGAAGCCTGGAGGACTTCAACCCGCTGGGGAATTCTGAGCGTTGAGAGGCTTAAAGTGGCCAAGATTGGAGATCTAAAGCAGAGACGGGCAACCACGTCAACATTACAACCTGTGGACTTCCCAGAATACCCGAGCCAGCGTGGTTCCCCCTGGTGGACACACCCAGGAGCCCTGGGTCAAAAACACCCATTGGAGATCAGAGAGGCCCATCCCATCCGCCCAGATTAGCTCCTTGGGTTGACATCTTAAGAGCCCAATCGGATTAATCCTTGTAAGGAGCTCAGGAGCAGCTGCTTCCACCTCCACCCAGTTCCATCGCTGGGACTCGGTGGCTTTGTGGGGCTCCGCCGGGCTGGCGGTCCCTGAGCTCCAGCGGAGCTGCTAAGAGCCCCCCGGAGGCTCCACGGCAGTCAGCAGAACCCCAGTTCTCCCCTCGAGGCGTCAGCCACGGATGGTGGCCGCGCGAGGAGCCCTCGGCCAGCACCATGAGGCCGACGGCGCAAAGGCGGGCCAGCCTCTCGGCCAACATGAAGTTCGGGGTCTGTCAGAAGTGCTGCCGGAGCCCCAAGGACGTGGACCTCTTCATCCCCTTCTCTCAGGAGAAGCTGGTCAAGCGGTGGAGCTCCCTGGACAATTTGGCCGACCGGGCCCAGGACGGCGATGACCTTCCCCACCTGGGCGATCCGCGTTTCTTGTCCCTGAACGTCGGGGGCCAGCACTTCCACATCGCCCTCCCAGCGGCGGCCAGGTACCCGCTCACCAGGATCGGGCGTCTGGCCACCTGCACGGACCCCGTGAAGCGTCTGGCCCTGTGCGACGACTACTCGGTGCCGAGGAAGGAGTACTTCTTCGACCGGGACCCTCTCGTCTTCCACTACGTCTTCCACTTCTACCGCAGCGGCGTCTTGTGGCTCCTGACGGAGTTCTGCTCGTCCAGCTTCCTGGAGGAGATGGACTACTGGGGGATCCACCTGAAGTACGCCCAGCGGTGCTGCCGGAGCCTCTTTGAGGAGCGGCACGACGAGATGGTGGAGCACCTGAAGATCCAGCGGGAGCTGGAGGCCGAGATGGAGACGGGGGAGAAGGGGGAGCAGTTTGAGGGGAAGTGCCTGGGAAGGTTCCGGAAGGCCATCTGGAACCTGATCGAGAACCCGTACTCCTCCACCCTGGCTAAGATCACGGCCATCTTGTCCAGCCTGTGCGTCCTGCTCTCGGTGGTGGGCATGTCCCTCAGCACGGTGAAGGAGATGCAGGGCACGAGCAGCAAGCGCTGCCTGGAGGGCCTGGAGACGGCCTGCGCCGCCTTCTTCACCCTGGAGTACCTCCTGCGCCTGGCCTCCACCTCCAGCCTGCAGCAGTTCCTCCGGGCGGCCTTCAGCGCCATCGACCTGGTCTCCATCCTGCCCTTCTACATCCAGGTGGCCGTCGAGTCGCTGGGCGAGGAGGACGCCAAGGACGCCGAGGAGCTGCACCAGATGCGCAACGTGGGCAAGCTGGGCAAGATCCTGAAGCTGATCAAGCTGATGCGCATCTTCCGCATCCTGAAGCTGGCCCGCCACTCCACGGGCCTGAGGTGCTTCGGCTTCACCCTGCGGCAGTGCTGCCAGCCGGTCTGCTGCCTCCTCCTCTTCATCGCCATGGGCATCTTCACCTTCTCCGCCCTCATGCACTCCGTCGAGCACGACGTCCCCGGCACCAACTTCACCAGCATCCCCGACGCCTGGTGGTGGGCGGCCGTAAGTCAGCCTTTCCTGCGCGCACGACCCCACCCACCTACCCGAGGGGCTCCCGGTCATCACAGCAGCAGGGCTGGAAGGGGCCTCGGAGGCCTTCTAGTCCAGCCCCCTCCACTTGTGCAGGAGACACCGTCGTACTCCAGAGCAACGGCCGCCCGGCCTCCTCTGAACAGCCTCCAGCGACGCAGCCGTCGCAGCTTCTGGCGGGCGGTGGGTGAAAGTCCCAGGCTGCTTTTTGGCGCCTTTCCACCCGGGGTTCCTTGCCCTGCCCCTCCCCTCAAGTCCCCCGGAAGATTGTCCTCCCTCCCCTAGTCGTTCTCCTCGTTAGGCTGGGCAGCCCCAGTTCCCTCCATCCCTCGCGTGGTCCAGGCGCCCCCGGAGCCCCGGGCCTCTTTGGGGCGGAGGTCTCCTTTGGGATGGAGAGGAGGCCCCGAGCCTCAGGTGAGTTGGCTTCGGCTCAGGAGGGCCTCTCCCCTTCTCCTCCTCCTCCTCCTTCCCCCTCCCCCCGCTGCAGGTGAGCCTCTCCACGGTGGGCTACGGGGACACGGTGCCGGACACCTTCCTGGGCAGGGTGGTGGCCTTCGGCTGCATCAGTTTCGGGATCATCCTCAACGGGATGCCCATCTCCATCCTCTACAACAAGTTCTCCGACTACTACGCCAAGCTCAAGTCCCACGAGAACAAGGCCAGCGTGGCCCTGAAGACGCCCCGGAAGTACAACCTCCAGGAGAGGCTCTGGAGGAGGGTGAAGCGGTGCTGCTGAGCTCAGCCCAACGGACCCCCCGGCCCCGTCGGAAGCCCCCGATGATAAGCCCCACACCCCCGTGCCAGGCCGGCCTGCTCCCTCGCACCCGGGGCAGCTGGGATCCTCGGCCCCTCCAGATGCTCATCCCCCTCCCCCCCTCCTCCTTCCCTTACAATCGTTCGCTTAGGGACCGTTCGAGGTCCGAGCGGCCCCGAAAAACGTGACTCGTGACCCTTTTTCACAGTCAGTGGCCGTTCCACCATGCCGGCGGTCACGTGGTCCAAATTCAGAGGTTTGGCAACTGGGTCTTATGACGGTTGCTGTGTCTTGGAAGGGCGGGGGGCATGTGATCCCCTTTAACTGATAACAGAGAATCAGAGTTGGAAGGGACCCTGGGGGTCATCTAGCCCAACCCACCCCCCCATCCAAGCCAGAGACCCTACACCATTTCTGACATATTTGCGACCTGGCAAGCCAAGTCCACGGGGGGGCGGGGGGGGGAATGCAGATTCACTTAAGGACCTGATGGCTCGCTAAACAGCTACGGCGCTTCACTTAAGAACGGCAGCAGGAAAGGTCACAAAACCGGGCGAAACTCATTCAACAACTGTGCCACTTAGCAACTGTTGGGCTGGATTGTGGTCATAACTGGAGGGCTACAAGCGCCTCTAACCCCAACATCGGTTTAGTCCCCCAGGGCGGTTCGGCTCCTGCCCTGAGGCGCACCTGGGAGCCAGGTATTTGAATTGGCTTGCCAGGCCCCAAGGCCCAAAGGCGGCTTGAAAAGCGCCTGTCCGGGCTTTTACCTGGCTCCCCTGACCCCGCCTTCACCTGCAGGTGTTCTTTTGAACCCCGCCTTCGTTGTTTTCATAAGCAACTCCAGGCAAGGAACCTACCTAACCCGCCTCCTCTTTTCCTCACCACAACAACCCTGCGAGGAGGGTTGGCCCAAAGTCTCCCGGCCGGTTTTCCCACCGGCTGAGGTGGGACTAGAACTCCCGTCTCCTGGTTTCTGGCCTGGAAAAACACTGGGGGGGGTGTGGGGGGGGCGTTGTGGCAGGCAGAGCCAATAATCCCGAGCTGGGTCCTGCCTGCCCAGGGACCCCCATAGCGTCCGAGCCCTAAGGCCCGCGGGAAGATATCGGCAGAAGAATTGCCCTTGGGGATGGCGACTGGGGAGAGGTGGCCCTGAAGGCTGGCTCTGCACCGGGACGTTTCAACCTGGGGGAGGTGGAAGAATTGGAGCAGGGGGTTGGACTAGATGTCCTGCAAGGTCCCTTCCAACTCTGTTTATGCTCTCCTATATTCTACTCTTCTACGCTCTGTTATTCTACTCTATTACTCTGCTACTCTATCCTACTTGACTGCTCTTACTATTCTACAACTGTATTCTACTCTACAACTCTATGCTACTCTACTACACTTTGCTACTACACCCTTCGTCCTCCACCAGAATCCCCCAGCCGGCCTTGCAGTTAAAATATTTGCCGAATCCGTTTGTCCAGCGTGCCCGTTGGATGCTTTCCTGTGTCAAAGAAACGGTTTTGGAAAGGTGAACTTTTTGGTTTTTTAAATGGATTTCATCACTTGGAAACCTGACACAGCGACCGTCCCAGGGAGCCTTTAGCTGAAGGAGAAAACTGAGGAGAGGCAGAATAAGAGAGTTGGAAGGGAACCCGGGAGGCCTTCTAGTCCAACCCGCTGCCTAGGCAGGAAACCCTACACCCCTTCAGACAAAATGGCTGCCCAACATCACCTTAAAAACCTCCCATGTTGGAATGAGTTTCCATCCGTTGCCTCTTGTCCCGCCGACTCCCCTGGCCCAGGAAGGAGGTGGGCATTGGGGTTGGGGGTGCAGTCCTCCCCTCCGCCCTTCCCTCCCTCCACCCTCAAAATCCACCTTTCCCAGCCGAATGAGCTGATCCTGGGAGCAAAGCCCCCCCTCCCCACAGCCCCTCCCCCCCAAGGATCACCTCCTCCTCCTCCAGATGTTGGCAGCAGCGGAGCACAGGTTGAAATTGGGGAGTGGGGGAAACCTATTTGTTGAATTCCCCATTTCTTCCAGGGTCGCCCCCACATTCTCTGTCCCTCCACTCTCTATCGCACCTTTGAGTTTACAGGGAAAAACGCCATTTGCTGGTGCCAGGTGAGTCACAGGTGAGCTCTCCCTGCCCAGCAATACTCCTTTCCGCGCCCAGATGCCACCTTCAGCGCAAGGCTGCCAGACCAGGAAAGGACGCAGACACGAAACACACACACACACATGCAAACAACACTGGCTTTTTCCGCAGTATTACCGGTTTCCTTGCCAATTTCAGGGCCAGTGGGAGTAACGTAGACCGGAATACAGACAAAATGCAGCCACAAAACACACGAGAAAGAAATTTTGCAAGCCTTACCTGGCCCTTCGGCAGATGGACCTGCCCCTCCTCAGCCCACCCACCCCCCTCTCTCCAAACTGACACCCCACTTGGCAATCAAAAAAGCAACAACCGAAAGCTTGGAAGTGGTTTGCGTTTAATGTGGAGACGGCAAGGAGGCCCGTGGCAAAATCATCATCATAATAAAAAGCAAAATATTTACAAGTCTCGGTGCCCTGGACATTTGTGAAATATATATATATGTGTGTGTGTGTGTGTGTGTTAAGTTTTCACAGGTATTTATATGTATGATATTCAGCGCTGTTTGGGTATTTTCCCACGGTCAGTATAGTTGTGCTTTTAAAGTTGTAGCAACGTTTCGGCAGAATCTCATCTGCCATCATCAGGCTTCTGTACTGTGTTCGTCTGTGAGTCAGACTTTCACAGCCGTTTCTGTTTTAAATTTGGTGCTCGCCTACTGCTGTGCCAGAATGGTTTTTTCTTCATCCTGATTGGTTGGGAGTCTTGGACTGTGTTTATTGGAGTTTGCTGTGTTCTGCTTGATTGGTGTTTCTAATATCTTCTGTCTGTTTTGTGGCTTTTTTTTTGGTCTTGATTGGCTGGCAATATTGTGTTCCTGTATTGGAGGCTTTTAGTGCAGCTTGGCTCCAAGTAAATGGACGGCTATCCTTTATTAGGAAACTAGGTTTCATCTGGGTGCCTGGTTGGGGTGTGTTTGAGCTGGAGGTATGGGGGGGGGGTCTGTTTGTGCCCAGGGGTTTGCAAACAAAAAAATCTCCACACCACAAGCCAGGCAAACACCTGGGCACAAATAGACACACACACACACCCGAACAGACCATTCTGGCACAGCAGTAGGCGAGCCCCAAATTTAAAACTGAAACAACTGTAAAAGTCTGACTCACAGATGAACACAAGACAGAAGCCTGATGATGGCAGGTGAGATTGCTACCACTTTAAAAGCACAAGTATAATGACGTAGGAAAATACCCGAACAAAGCTGAATACCATATATATATATATATATACACATACATACAAACACACAATTTATAGATTATTTATATAAATTAAAAGAGTTTGGCTATTTACAGTATGATACATTCCACGGGGCGCAGTTCAGGTGGAGCTCCATTCAAACACGCCACTTTCCTTCCCAGGAACACAGGCGGCATCCCCAAAAGTGGAGGGCTTGATGGCCTTTGAGGAGCCCATGTGGAAGGTGTCTCTCTCTGACCTCAGCCCTTTGCTCTTCGGAGGTAGACTGCTGCGGGAGAAGGAGGCTCGACCCCATTTTCCCGGGACACTTCTGCAAACCCTAAATATAATTTCTCCTTTTTTTTTTATTTTAAATCGGCTCGGGGGACAGTTAACCTAATGATGGTGTCCCCCAAAAAGCCCGCCACTTGCAAACCCTAAATATAATTTCTCCTTTCTTTTTTTTTAAAAAAATCGGCTCGGGGGCCAGTTAACCTAATGATGGTGTCCCCCAAAAAGCCCTCCACTTTAAATCACCATTAATGCCAGCAAGACGCTTTTCTTGTGGCAGGCAGTTCCGCAGGTTCGGTAAGCTTTGTCTTGCTCTCCTCGGGGTCCGTTTTTTTTTTTTTCCTTCTTCCAACAGCGGGTAGGCAAGGAGGGTCCGGGCTGCCTCCATCAGGTGAGGGGGCCTGATCAAAGCAAAAACTCCCCCCCCACCCCGCCGTCCTCAAGCCAAGTTTCTACAAATTATGGGGAAGGAATTGAACTCGCGCCAGAGGGGCTGCAACGCTTCCAACGAGCATCATTTGTGCCCTCCACACTGCAGATAAAACTATAATACAGGACGGGGAGTGCAACTTTGCAACTTTAAGACCGGAGGACTTCAACTCCCAGAATTCCCCAGCCAGCAGAGCTGGCTGGGGAATTCTGGGAGTTGAAGTCCGCCGGTCTTAAAGTTGCAAAGTTGGACACTTGGTTTACGGAGCGAAATTCCTGACTGTTGTCCCCTCCCCTTAAAAAGCCCCCAGGTTTGGAGGTGGGAGGGGCCACCCCTGTGCCAGCCTCCCCCCCTTTCCCCCCCCACCCCGTGCCCGGGGGGGGGGAGTTGGGCGCCTTCAGTGGCACCCGCAGCTGCCGGCCACCATGCCGTTGTACTGTTTCAAGACCACCGTCTCAGTGTCGTCGAAGTAGAGCAGGTTGATGGAGAAGAGCTTGTCCGGGACGCAGCAGGGGACGTGGACCTCCGGGCTGATCTTCAGGGCGTGGATGATGGACTGGACGGTGGCGTGGTTGGTGGGCCGCATGGACTGGCCCAGCGGGAAGTGGCAGGCGCCCTTGCAGTGGTAGGCGTTGTAGCCGTGCGGCGAGATGACCCAGCCCGTCCAGCCGATCTCGTCGAAGTCCACCGGGAGCGGGTAGCGCTGGCAGGGCAGGGAGATCTCGGCCGAGCGGGGGCCGCGGCTGTGGTTGGAGGGGGGCTCCGGGAGAGAAGTCAGACCTGCGGAAAGGGGGGAGGGCAAAGAGTCTAGAGAGTTGGTTCACGTTCCCCCCCTCCTCCCGCTTGGCACTCTCAGCTTCAGGAGCAAGAGTGAGAGATTAACAAGAGTTGGAAGGGACCTTGTAGGTCATCTAGTCCAACCCCCCTCTGCCCAAGCAGGAGACCCTACACCATTTCTGACAGAGGGCAGTCCAATCTCTTCTTGAAAGTCTCAAGTGATGAAGCTCCCACAACTTCCAAGGGCAACTTCTCTTCTATGGGTGGATTTGTTCTCACTGTCAGAAAATTTCTCCTTATTTCCAGGTTGAAAAAATCTCTCCTTGTTCAGTTTCCATCCATTGTTCCTTGTCTGGCCTTCAGATGCCTTGGAAAATAGCTTGACACCCCTTCCTCCTCTCTGGGGCAGCCCCTCCTCAAATATTGGAAGGCTGCTCTCCTGTCTCCCCTGGTCCTTTTGTTCATTAAAATCAGATTAAAGTCAGATTAACAGAGTTGGAAGGGACCTTGTAGGTCATCTAGTCCAACCCCCTGCCCTCATATATTGGAAATGGCTCTCCTGTCTCCCCTGGTCCTTCTCTTCCTTAGACTAGCCAGGCCCAGTTCCTGCAACCGTTCATTGCATGTTTTAGCCTCCGGTTACTCCCTCTTACGCTCCCTTCCTCTCTTCCTCTCTCTTTCCTTTCTTTCCTTTCCCTTCTCCCTCTTTCTCTCCCTTTTGTTTTCTTTCTCTGTTTTTCTCTTTCTCTCATTCTTTCTCTCCCTCTTTTTTCTTTCTCTCCTTCCTTCCTTCCTTCCTTCCTTTCTCTTTCTTTTTCCTTTCTCCCCCTTTCCCTTCAAATATTGGAAGATGCTCTCCTGTCTCCCCTGGTCCTTCTCTTCCCTAGACCAGCCAGGCCCAGTTCCTGCAACGGTTCATTGTATGTTTTAGCCCCCAGTCCCCTAATCATCCTGATTGCTCTTCTCTGCACTTTTTCTAGAGTCTCAACCTCTTTTTTATAGTGTGGTGACCAAAACTGGATGCAGGTCTCTAGGTGTGGCCTTACTAAGGCTTTATAGGGTGGTATTAGTACCTCACTTGATCTTGATTGTATCCCACTATTAACGCAACTTAGGGCTGCATTAGCTTTTTTGGCTGCTGCTGCACACGGCTGGCTCCTATTGAGCTGGTTGTCCACTAAGACTCCAAGATCCCCCTCCCAGTTCCTGCTATTGAGCCTGGTTTCACCCAGTCTAGATGGGTCCTTTGGGTTTTTCTTGCCTAAGTGAGGACTTTCCTTTTCTCTATATTGAATTTCATTTTGTTAGGCAAGGTCCAGTGTTCTAGTCTGTCAAGATCCCTCTGGACCTTGAGCCTACCTTCTTGGGTGTTGGCTATTCCTGCCATCTTAGTATCATCTGCAGATTTGGTAACTTCCCCTTCTATCCCCTCCTCTGAGTTGTCCCAAGAGAGGCGACGTGTGACCCCCCCGTCCCCCCAAAATGCCTGGCAAGGGTGTGACTCACCGGGGAAGGCGCTGGGCAAGGCCGCCTCCCGCTGCCTGTCATCCGTAAACAAGACCAGCATGGGCTTCTTGCTGGGGTGGTGGTCCCTGCCCGAGGCGAACTGCACGGTGTCGGGGTCCAGGGGGGCCCCTCCGAGGCCCTGCACCGTCACCAGCAGGCCCTGGTTGCGGCTCTCTTCGGCCACCCATTCATGGACCTGGGAGTGGGGGAGACGGCCATCGGTTGGCATCCTACTGGGCTCGAGTCAGCGAGCCAAGCCCCAGGCAAAAGGGACACCTCTCCCCCCCCCTTGTTCTCAGCACACACACACCCCATGCACACATGCAGGTCAAACTCTGGGGCACCCAAGCCCCTCCCCCCCGCTGGGCTCGAGTAAGCGAGCCAAGCCCCAGGCAAAAGGGACACCCCCCCCCTTGTTCTCAGCAGACACACACCCCATGCACACATGCAGGTCAAACTCTGGGGCACCCCAGCCCCCTCTTGTCGTCCCCCCCGGAGGGTGGCACTCACCGCGTGGGTGATGGGAAAAATCTCCCAGCCGAAGCCCTGCAGGGCCATCAGCCGGGTGGAGAGCAGCCTCTTCCCCTCGGGGTCTTCTGGGTGGTCCTTGTCCAGCACCTGGTAAATGCTGACCTAGTTGGGGGGAGAAGGAGAAACGGGGGGGGAGTAGGATTAGCTGAAGCCCTACGTGGTGGTGGGGGGGGCTCCTCTCCCCAGCAGGAGCCCTTCCCCCTACAGATTCGGGGCGCTCTGTACATGCCTGCCTAACCTGGCCCCCTTCCCGCCCCCCCTGGCCGGCCCCACTCAGCTTGGAGCCCCAATCTATGCAACGTGGTCGGCTCCCAAACTATGATGGGATATGACACCTCCCAGCAGCCTTGGTGGCGTGGGTCCACAGTTCAGGCAGGAAGAGACCAGGGGAGGAAGAGGAGGAGAAGGAGAAGAGGGGAAGGGGAGGAGAAGGACGAGGAAGATACAGGGGGAAAAGAGGAGAAGGGGAAGGGAGGGGAAGGGAAGGGGGAGGGGCAATTGGAGGGAGAAGGGAGAGGAGGAGGGGAAGAAGAAAGGAGGAGGAGGACAGAAGGGAGGGAGGAGGGAGGAGGGAGAGGGGGAAGAGGATAGGAAGAAGGGGAGAAGGAAGAGAATGGAAGGAAGGGAGAGGGAGAAGGAAGAGAGGAGGAGGGGAGGGAAAGTAGGGAGGGGGAAGGGAGAGGAGGATGGGAAAAAGAAGGGGGGAGGAGGAGGACAGAAGGG